ATGGTGTGGTGGGCTCTGTGTTAGACTGCCAACCACAGGGTCAGCAGTTCAAACCCACTAGCCACTCCCTGGAAGAAAGACGAAGCTTTCAACGCTCTAAAGGTTTATAACCTTGGAAACTCACCTGGGCAATTCTAGCCTGTCTTGTAGGCTCTCTGCAGGTTGGAGTGAACTCCATCCACGGCAGTGAGTTTGTAGGATCGAATTTACAACACACGTTTTCACAGAGTCACAATTCCATCCCCAGGAGAGGCCTTTTTAAGTCTTCAACTTCATGTGAAGTGCTTCAGGAAGATGCTGCCCAGAAGAGCACCACTATCGGGCAGGGGTGTAAGAGAGTCACTGGCTGCTGTCTTGACATGAAACTGCAGGTGGAAGTAGAGCTGAGAAGCAGGGAGACCCCCCTGGAGGCAATGGTGATGATAGTGTATGTATAATGGGGGACTGGGGTTCAGTTCGTAGAGGTAGAAGTGGTGAGCAGTAGTCAGATGCTGGAAATATTTTGAAGGTAGAGCCGACCTGATTTGTTGATGAACTGGAGATAGAAAAGAAGAGTCTCAGGTATACCCTGTAGCATTCCCTTTAGCAAGTTAGTGGTAAATTGCATTAGACTTCTTCCGTTAGTCAGTCAGTCTCTCTCTCTCTCTCTGTTGCTCTGTCTTTTCTGGAAAGATTGCTTTGTTGGGTATACAAATCCACATTGTGAGTTACCATAATAACTGGCAGATCCCCCCACTGCTTTCTGGTTTTCATTGAATTGCCACTCTTTGTTCCGAGTGCACTCTGAATTTGTAGTTCCTTGACGCACAAAGGATACACTGCTAAAGTGTGGTTTCTTCCCTTCCTTCTCGGCGGCCCACCTCTGTCGCCTCCTCTCTTCCACTCCCCCTCCTTCCCGCCTTCTGCGTTCGGATGATGCTCTAGATCTGAGGATTGATTTCTCTGGATCATTCAGGTAAATGTTCAGCATTCTCTCGTAGCGTAGCATCTCCTCATTCTCTTGGCTGCCGGGTGTCTGATGAGACTGCTCTGCTCACTCCATCTGCCGGGAGTTTCCTTTTCAGAGCCCATTGGCTTTAAAAAAAAAATGTATCCAGGTTTACCCCAAACTAAGCCAACCCCTTTGCTGGTGAGTGGGTTCCAACTCGCGGAATAGCGTGAACCCTACCCCCACCCCCACCCCACACCCACACCCGGATTTCCAGGCCAGTCTGTACAGACACAGGCAGCTCTTCTTTCTCCTTCAGAGAGGCTGGCAGTCTTGGATCACCAATCTTTTAATTTAATATTTGAGGCTTGCCTCTTGATGATCAAAGTGTAAGTGGTCTTTGTATCTTCCAAGTGCAAGTTCTTTGCCAGATATTTTCTCCACGTTTGTAGACTGCCTTTTGATTTTCTTAGTGGTGTGCTCTGGTGAGCTGAGCCTTTCTGGTTTATTCTGTCTGTGTCTCAGATAGGAAATTCTGCCTACGTTACAGAGGTACTGTTCCTTTGTCTGCTCCTAGCTGCTTTCAAGGGTTATCTTTTGCTTTATTTCTTTATTCTTTTTACATTTAAGACAACGATCCATTTGAAGTTAATTGTTGTACATGTTCCAGAGTCAATCAGTTCTCTTATTTATGTACAAGGAGACTCCAAAAGTTTACGGAAATATTCCATTATCTTTTCATTCTTTTTCCACCAAAGTGTGGAAGCTGGTCGCTCTCACACTATTGATTGAAAAACCTGCCCTTTCCCTGTTGAATCCCTTGTCAAGAAATGAATATACATGGGTGTGTGGGTCTGTTTGTGGATACGCTGTTCTATCCCATGCATCTTTGTTTTGACACTCACATACGTACCACACTATTTTTCCATGACTTTAGTTTTAGGGTACATCTTGAAAACGAGCCATGTAAATCCTCAAAGT